AGTTTGAGTATGGTAGGGGTTGTCCTAAGACATCTGAGATGACAAAGTTCATAGTTAAAAACATGGATAGTAATATGGGCATATGTAACTTGTATGGTAAAGTCAAGTAATTAAGAGAAGAATGAAATATAAAGAAATTGCTTAAATCATTTTATTTATTTCCTTTGGGGAATGGAAAATTTTACCTTAAACCATTGCAATTTGCGCTGCATTTTGTAGAGCTGCACCAGCTGCACTTACTCTGAGACTGAGTTGCTGCTGAGGTCCCAACAATGCAGCCAAATGCAAAGCATTGTTCCCCGACACGTCCAGTAGTGACAGAACCAAATAACTAGACTCCTCAAGTTGATATACGAGGTTGAACACATTTTCACGACGACATGCAATTGCATATTGGAATATGTTTTGCTTCTTTGCGTTAGAAAGATTGATCATAGGAGGGCATGACTATAATATTTTCAACAACTTCATGAATCCCAGCCGATGTTGCTTCATGTAACACTAGTGCAAATATCCTAGCAACTTTTGTGAAATTTGTTTTTGCAACTTCCATGCAAATGCATTGGACAAGCTTTTGTGCTTGATGGTGTACCAATTTCTTTTCTCAGATGTGCTTTATTTGTGGCACTATAATTAAAATGAATTTTTTTTTAAAGATGTAGTTAAAAAAATGAATTATAGTCTATAAAAAACATAAAAAAAACAAATAAATAAAAAAAAAGGCATATATTCACCCCCGATCCCTACCATTTTTTTCAAACAACTTTCCAAAACATCATACGCAATCTTTGCTTCACTGCACAACAAATACTAAACCAGTTAAAATATGAGAGGCAATAATGCTATGGTGGCAAACTTATTGCTACCGAATCGAAGACAAGATTTCGAACATAGATTATCATTCTCAAGTAATGCTAAAATGAATCATTTTAATCAATAATTATAAATGTATTTTTTTTCCCAAGCTATGATTTAAATTTTATTTTAACTTTTATTATTACTTTTTTGTGGATAGGCATTGTGGTATGGATTTAGTAATAAGTGAAAAGGGATGACAACGCAAAAAGAAATCAATTTTCCTTTTTGACAATCATGGAAAGCAAGAGGGCTGTGACTTGGAAAATTTGAGGAGAACGAGAAATTCTTTGGGTTGTTTCGTTTGATTGACAGGTTTAGAGAGGGATTAGTGAGGCTCTTGAAATTACACTACACATCAGCATTCTTTGTTATCCAAAATGACAATTTTACCTTAAGAAATAATGCTTAATAAACAATCAATTTTTTCCTACAACCAAACACACCATATTTCATTAATTTTTTGTCCCTATAAATCACTACAAGAAAAAACCCTTCAGTGACTAACATTTTGGTCGCGAAAAGTACCATATTTGGTTGCTAAAACCTTTTCACGACCAAAATATGTTGGTCGCGAGTTGGTCTCTAAAGCCTCGTCACAGATAGTTTTTTGCGACCAAAAAAGCCTTTGGTCGCTAAAAGTGACCATTCGCGACCAACTTTTTTTGTCGCGGAAAGTCCAATTCATTTAGCTAAAAGGAAACTTTTAGCAACCAAAAAAAGTGACCATTGGCGACCAACTTTTTTGGTCGCAGAAAGTCCAATCATATTAGCCAAAATGGAACTTTTAGTGACCAAAGATAAGTTGGTCGCCAAAAGTCAACGCATTGACCCAAAAAGAATAATTCCTTTGTGCTGCTTAGGACTTGCACTCCTGACCAAGGAGTCACCATGCACCCAATCCACTCTGCCAATAACATGCTTCTTGTTTTTATTTGGCAGAGAAAATATATAACCCATAAAAATTGGGTTATATATTATTTTATAAAACTTTTAATGCCTAAACAGAAAAATAGCATGTAATTACAGTAGTATCCGTTTTTTTTTAAATTTATCCCGCCATAACTTTCCGCGACCAACTTTTTTTTTTTGGCGCCAAAGGGTAATCTTCCGCGACCAAAAAAGCCTTTGGTCGCCAATAGGTATACTTTCCGCGACCAACTTTTTTTTTGGTCGCCAAAGGGTATACTTTCCGCGACAAAAAAAGCCTTTGGTCGCCAATAGGTATACTTTCTGTGACCAACTTTTTTTTTGGTCGCCAAAGGGTATACTTTCCGCGACCAACATTTTTTTGGTCGCCAAAAGGTATACTTTCCGTGACCAAAAAAGCCTTTGGTCGCCAAAGGGTATACTTTCCGCGACTAACAATTTTGTGGTCGCCAAAAGGTGATCTTCCTCGACCAAAAAAGCCTTTGGTCGCCAATAGATATACTTTCCGCGACCAACTTTTTTTTTGGTCACCAAAAGGTGATTTTCCACGACCAAAAAATTGTGGTCGCTAAAAGTTAGATTTTAATCGCAGAAAGTGGACTATTTGCGACCAAAAAAAATAGATGGTCGCTAAAAGTGTTTTTTCTTGTAGTGAATATATGGTATTTTGTGGGAATGGAGTTATATTAAAGGTTACCATAAATCAAGCAGTCGATAGGATTCTTAATATCTCCTCCGCTATGGGGCTTTGCAATGTTTTCCAATTCCAAAGGAACATCTACATGAGAGAGAGAATGGAAAGTTCAGTGAATTATGTTAGTCTAGCAAAAAATTAGCAAAGATATTGAGCACAAATATTGTAGTAACAAGACAATAAATAATATATAGACAAAAATAAGAGTAGAGAAAAATAGATGTGAGATTTTGAGAGTAGCATTGTCACTATCTTAAAATTGTTTTTCATTTTCTCGTAAAGGTACAACCAGAGTGAAATAGTTTTAAGATAAAACTCAAAGTGCTCATAGCTTCTTTCATCCAATGTTCATTACCACCAAAAGCTTGAACCACGTAACGAACCAGAATTGCTCAAAACATATATAATATATAAAAGTATATAGAACTCTCTAAAAAACATTCCACCTTTCAATTCACTCTTCTTCTACAAGATAACCAATCATTGGTGTAATAGGTCCCAACACTTATATTTATGTCAAATGATGTGTTAACACATAAGATGGTACATTAAAAATGGTATAAAAAAGTGGTAAATGTAGCATTACTCTTTTCAACATATATAGGTGTGGAGGATGGGTTTATATTGGAGTTGTATAATCAATAGAATTAATAATGAATTTAATCCTTCATAAATATGAAAAATTTCTAATAAATAGACATTATGTACAATATTTATTTGTAATAAAACTATAATTAGTCCATCATTTTCCAACAAATGGATAAAAAAAATCAATAAAGAAACTTTTAGAATAGGTAATAGATAAGAAAGAATAGAGATTGAAGAGACTAACACGTATAGATTAAATTTTGCCAAAAGTTTTAAGGAGGTTCCACTTCAAAATGCAGCAATTGTCTTCAAAGGAGAGACTTCTTCTTATAAGAGTGGTTAGCTTGAGCCCACTAATTAATTGAGCCCAATCGAAGCCCAATCGAAAAGCTCGAAAATTAGTGAGCTTGGAGAAATTATTGCCAAATGGACCAAGTGAATTCTATTGAACGGGCCCATAAGAAAGTCAACAAATTGGAGCGAGGAGGATACATTTCAAGCATATGTCCCTAAAGAAAGCCCAACAAGCCCATTCGAGGAGGTCCATATCATACAAGTGCCCGAGGAGGTTAATTATTGCTTTCAAAAGAGATGAAACCCTCGGAAGAGATCTATTCTCTGAGGTATTGGCCTAGTCTTGAAAGGGTTTGGAACTACGAACCTAGATACCTATTTGAGCTCGGACTCGAAAGGAGATATTTATGGTCGGAGGATTTGAAAATCCTCCAACCTATTCTTACCTATATTTTTGGAACCACGAACCCTGCTAATCTATAGTTTGGATTTAGTAGAGAAAAATCTTATAAGGAGATATTTATGGTTGAAGCTCCAGCCTAGTAATGATTTGTATGTAGACATTCTCTCATTCTATGTTGCTCATTGGAACCTACTTCTCTAGTGCTTGGAGGATTTGAAAACCATTTTTTTTTTTTTTTTCAATGGCTTATTTTTCCCAAAAATATAGGTAAGAAACTCACTTGCTTCACTTATTTTTAATTTATTATTATTATTATTATTATTATTATGGTGGTATATCATAGTGATGATATATATGCTTGCTGTCACATTTTAGTTCTACTGCATGGTTTGGATTTTGATAATCATGCTATTATAGAATTAATTAATCCTAATGAAGGATTTCATATTATTTTTGTTTAAGCAATAGGTGCTATTGTATGAGTTTCCATCTTGTCCATAAAAGTTCTCCAATCAATTTGGAACCAGCTTCTCTCCAGTAGAAAGAGAATGGAGAGAAGCACTGGACCCTCCAGTTCTGTGATTTGTTGGGACCACATCGCTGGTTTTGATGATCCAAACCAATCATTTTTAAATTTTACGAGTATAGATCATCCATAAAAAACTAGATCAATTCAATAATTATAACTATATGATTTCATTACATTTGTTTTCAAAGAAATTGATGGTTTACTCTTAAAATCACAGTTGCGTTCATTTTTCAAAAAACAAATATGATTAAATATGTGACTCCGATCAATCCTAGATTCTCCATTCAAGAGGGACTAAAAAATGTACATTTTTGGATAGTAGAACCAGCCCCTTCTCTTATGAGAAAGAATCCAAAATGCTCTCCCAAGCATGAAACTCAACACACATTTGCATAAGTGGCGCTTCCCCCTTTGTGCAACCATTGTTCAGCAGAAAAGAAGAATGAGATGATGAAAGAGAGCACCCCTTAGTCTGGCCTTAGGCTTGAAACAAAACTTTTTGGATTAAGGACAAAAGCAATGGACCAAACCTATTTTGCTCTTGCAAATTCAGGTTCTCAAAGATATATGTATATATATTTCTATCAGCAAAAAAATTAACATTTTTTAATCATAATAAAACATTACAAGCAACGGGAGGGATACAAATGCGAAGAACATCATTGAAGACAATAACACCTGCCCACAGATCAATGTTCTCACAGCTATTATTGGGGCCATTTGTGCACTATTGTGGCTTGTAAGTACGAAATACTATTCACCGCAAAAAAAGTATGAATTACTTTCACATTTGGGAGTATGTTGATGTTGATGGGTGGCGTAAGAATTTCAAGTTCTCTTTTGGGAAGTGCACATATTACTTTTGAGTTTGTAGTAGTGTGGGCGGTGGCTGCCATTCTTGAATGTTTACCAGCTATTATTTCAAACTTTCATTATGTAATACCATATTGCAAGGATGGAGTAGGATTAGAGGTTCAAGCCTTACCATCAACCACACTTGAAATGAAGCAGTCAGTAGGATTCTCAATGTCCCTTTGGCTATGGTGGTCTGCAATGGTTTCCAATTTTATGGGAACAGCTACATGAATAACAAAAGATTAAGTAAATTATACTTGAAAAAAGTGCCTTATGGACTGTATTTTGCAGAAAACCTAGATTGTTAAGGAAAAAAGAGAAATATGTTCATGACATTAACTTCTTTTTGGCACATAATTGGTAGACTGTCTAAAATATATACTGTGGCTTGTGTTGTTTATATATGTTTTAATTTTGGGGGTCTGGTTAACACTTAATCATGTTTGTATACTAGGAAAACTATTGATAGAATAAAAAACAAAACAACCAGATTGGTCAATATCCTATTCAAAAAAATTAAACATGGTGAGTCTTGTAAATAGCATCCATTTTGTTATGAAAATACATGTAAAGAGTGAAATAAATAACACTACGAAGTACATGCAATGACAAATATCATTTCTCTAATATTATTTAGCCAATGTGTTTCACCATTCTTACTTTAACATGAAGCATCTATCTATATGTTCATGTCATTTGTTCATCCCTATCCGCCAATTCCATTAGTGGTATCATAACAAACTATGCCAAAAATAAATACATTAACCATCAATATAAAATATTGTGCAATAGATAATAGATAGAGAGGGGAGACAAGGACTGAAGATACTAACCTGAATAGATTAAATTCTGCCAGGAATTTAAGGGGGTTCCACTTTGAAATGAAGAAGGCTTTTTAGAAATCATTGTCAGAGGAGAAGGTTCCAAATATGCCAACTTAGGGTAGCGGGAAAGCACGCTTAGAGCAATATCTGTAGGATAAGGATTGATGGAAAATGGAAATTAGATCATTAGCGGGAAAGCACGCTTAGAGCAATATCTGTAGGATAAGGATTGATGGAAAATGGAAATTAGTTTCTTTGCAAAAAACAAGTTCATGTTTTAAATTTTTTTCAATTTAAATTATGAAAATTTTAAATTTACTCACTTTAGATTCTTAAATTTTTAGATTATTTTGTCAATTTACTCACTTTTTCTTTTATTTTTTATTGCACATATAAGGGTACTGCCACCATCACTAATGAATGATTTTTTTTTTTTTTGACAAAGCTTCAAAAATATTAATACCAAATAGGCTGTATACTCTATATAATAATAATAATAACAATAACAATAATAATATAGATTGTATCTATACTATCCATACTATTATATATAGGGGGATTTGGTCTAAGCCCCCTCACAATAAAATTTTAATGTATTAAAGACAATCACAAAAAAATTTTCTTTAAAAGTCTTACACATTTCACTATTACCAAAATGTCTTTAGTGAGTAATTTAACCTTTTAAACTTTAAAATGATATAAATTTGATCTAGATATCGATTTTTAATAAAAGTAGTATTTATAAAATTTTCTCATCAAGATCTATCAAACAAGATTCATGTTGACTGAAATTCTTAAAAAAAAAAAAAAATTACCGTCGGAATTGACGTAAACAGTAACATATTACTCTTTTAAATAGTAAAACAAAACAAATCACACAACCAGAGTAGCATATTACTGTCATATGAATCGGACATAAAAAAAAATGAAACAAAGTACATGATCGAACAAACAACAATCAAACAAATAATTAATCAAAAATTCAACGTACATGATCAAACTCAAACAACAATCAAACAATGATGGAATGAAGCTTTTACTCTTAACACAAACAGTAATGAAATGAAGAATGAACGATGATTGAAGAACATTGAACACAGATTACTGAAGAACAATGAACAATAAAGAACAGTGAACGATTACTGAACAATGATTGAATGGTGAACAATGATCACCGTTTTAGTAATTAATGAATAATGATCATTGAACGAAGCTTCAACGTCAATCGCTAACAAATTGGATTCAAATCTCTATAATATATATCCAGAGCAAGGTTGTCTAGAGAAAAAAAAAAAAAATGGAAAAATATTAGTCTGCCCTTCATGAAGAACACCCCTCCTCCGCAGGAGTTTAGGGAGTAAAATATTTGGAGTGTCCTTTAAACACTAAAATGTTGGGCCCAGGGGTTTTGGCTAAATTTCCCTTATCTATGCTATTAATAAAGGAACGCCTTGGTTGGCTAAATTTCCCTTATCTTTACTATTAATAATAAAGGGGACACAAAGTCATCCTCCACTTTAATGCTAAGTGGCCATTTTGTCATTTAAAAAAAAAATTATTAAACAAATAATGGACATGAGACTCAAGGATGGACAAATTAATGAATTATCACTTGAATCAAACATAATATATATAAAAATATTTTATGTTATTTTTATTTATTTAAATTACACACTGTGCGCATGCCAACCGCTAGTATTATATAAAGCTACATTTGTATAACTGTTGAAATCAAATTCCGATTAAAGTTTGTAATTTCTTACAGTTCTAAAATAGTGTAGTCTGAGCCTCAGAAACACACGTTGTGTGATCTAGCAAATTCCGCAGACGGATTGAGCTCGATTTCGCAACATTCACTGCCCGTTTCATAATGGTTGATGATGCTCTCTGTTCTTCTCAGCCTGGATGTGATTTTGGGGGATTTCAATTTTTGACTGAGTGAGAGAGAAAAAAAAGAAAGAACGAAAGAGAGAGAGAGAGGGGCAATCGTTGGGAGTGTCGTAAAAATGGAGGATGACGTAGAGATGCTGGTTAAGGGAGGGATTAGTGACTTTTTAACCTAAAATATTGAGTTCCAATTGTTTGCCTTGGTGTAATTTACCCTTTCATTTTATTTTTTGTTTTATTAATCTATCACCCGTGCTATGCATAGAGTAATTATAAATATTTATATTTGTTTTAAATTTTTTTTAATATATAAATTATGTTTTTTAAGAATTTTTATAAAAATAATTTAACAATCTTATCACTAACTATAGTGTATGAGAGAAACTAAAAAATGTACTGTAATAACTATGGAAGGATTGTATCTATAATTATTTGTATGAGGGGATTTTAAATGCTGATTAGGAGATTTTGACCAAATCAATAAAAGCGAAAGACATGTGGATTGGAAAAAGTTAATAAATACTGATCAGGAGATTTTGACCAAATCAATAAATACTGAGGTTTTTTTTAAAAAAAAAATCAAAAAATCAAGAAATTTAGATTAAGATATTGGAGCAGCCACAAGGCTTGGGATTAGAAATCCCATTTTCCTTAATATATAGATAGATGTGAAGTTTTAAAGATTTTTAACAGAAATAAGTAAGATAATTGGAAATCTCTTCCTCAAAAAATACAAAACAAGATACAAATTCACATATTATGGGCCAATTTGGCAACACAATTAAAAGTCAAAAATTAATTTTTAATCTATTTAGAGTCACATCATCTCTCATATTTTTTATATATTTTTTCAAAAAAATAAAATAAATCAAAAAGTCAATTTTTAACCATCTTTCCAAAATAAAATCAATCCAGAAAGTCTATGTACGGTATAGACTAAAACTTTTGGTCAACATTATTTAAATCTTAAGTACATAATATTCGGTCTGTATTTGGTTCATGAATGTAGGTAAGAAATTAAAAATGAAATTGATGAAAAGGAAAAAGGTGTGAAATTTAAGTGAAATGAAATTATATTTCATTCATATTTCATTTACTTTTTTTTTTCTTTCCTTTTTTAAATCTCTCGTCAAATTATAAACTAAACACAACCTCAAATATTTTTTCTAAATTGATAATAGACAATAATTACTTACCATAAAGTCCACTAGTTGCCAACCGATACAAACGTGTAACACCTGATCTATCTTTAAATGGTTTTGGCTCTAGATTTTCTTTGTTGACACCCAAAGGTTTTGGCTCCAAATGTTCTGTGTTGACATCCAAAGATCTAGTGACATCCAATAAGTACAGAACCATCTCTCTAAAACCAAAATTAACAGCATAATAGAGAGGTACTCGTCTCTTCTTGTTCAGATTGGGCAAGATTGTGTTCCTCTGCACTAACAGTTTGGCTACCTCAACATTACCAGTTATTGAAGCTTCATGAAGGGTTGTCCTGCCTCTGGAGTCGACTAGAGCTAGATCCTCTGGTGACATCTTCTCTATTAACTTCTTCACAAATTCATTTCTCCACGCTAACCTAATGGCGACAACAAGTGATGTTTGTCTCAATCCAGTGACGGGAACCCTGACTGCATCTGGTTCTTGTTCTACAAATTTGTTGGCGTTCTCCCAATCACCTTTGATTGCAGCTACGTGCAGTGGAAGGTAATGGTTTACTTTCTGTCTTTCTTCATCTGTCATCCAATTCAACACACAAATCAGCTAACAAGAAGGTTGATCAAATTAAAGATGAAAATAAAAGGGAAACTACATGGGGTTTCCATCTCTGGAAGGTTATTCCTTGAGAGAGAGATTTGCGTCGGACTAGTACGACCGAGCTACGGCGACTCGAACTATGACGGACCAGGCGAGAGCCGTTTGCTCGGTTGGTGTGGCTCCTCGGCCGGTCATGCCAGGCCGAGCTACACTTGTCGACCGAAGCGTGGAAGTCGTGCCTACGCCAGGCCGGGCTATGATTCGGCGAGTTGTTCGCTCTGATCTACAATGCCATGTCTGGACCGAGCAGAGCACAACCATGGGTGATTTTAGACCGACTTGGCGGGCGACACGGGCAGTCAATCCGGTTAGAGAGCGACGCGCCTCGGTGGCCTGTTGATCGTGGTTCAGTTTCTTCCCAAGGGATAAGTCGGTCATGATATCCCGATAGGGCGTGCCACCTGGACCAATGATATGACGGGAGGGAAATCCACCCCTGGCATGCATCAATACCGTTGGCGGTTCCATACGTACTGCTTGGAGGTTTTAGCCTTTACACGTGTAAGGTGGTGAGAGGCGAGCACTGTCACCTGTCCAGGAAAGGACAGCAGAGGTAGTGCGCGCACAATCCCTGAGGCTACATGGCCAGCCTAGAAAAAGAGATGGAGGGGAAACGTTGGAGGTATACGATCTGAACAACTCTTTCTCTCTCTAAAACGGTATTCTTCTTCAAGTGATCTAAGTTGATCATCGGAGGGACTATCCGGCAACACCCCGCCGGGTAGCTCACCGCTTCTGTGTTTCCAAGATAGACGCCATCACGCGAAGCTTGAGTTCAAGGAGTACGGAGAACGGAGTATATTTCAGACTCGTACAATTGACCCGTGCAGAAGGCATCCAGCACCTTCCTATCTTCTACGTAAGCAAGTCCTTGCTCCCAGCGGAATCAAGATATCTGCCGCTAGAAAAATTGGCCATGGCCCTGATGATGGCTTCCAGAAAACTGGCACACTATTTCCATACCCACACAATAGTCGTGCTAACCAAGTTTCCACTTAAGGTGCTCTTTGAAAATGTAGACTTTACAGAGAGAATTTTGAAATGGGCCGTAGAATTGGGGCAATACGATATCAAGTTCCAGCCGCACACCGCAATCAAGGCTCAAGCTCTTGCAGACTTTGTGGTGGAGTTTGCCCCTGGAATGCATCTAGTTTGCCCGGTTGATTTGGGCAGTGCCGATTTTGCACAGCCCGTTGTTCAAGCAATAGAAACCAGTGTCGGCTCCCAAATGGAAGAAGAGCAATTGGCAGCCAAACTGGAGCAGCCAGATGACTCATCGACAGACAAGCCGAACCAAGAGATGGAAAGAGACCAGAATGCACTGATCGGAACCTTGGAATTGAGAAGCTCCCAAAACCCATCGGATTGCTGGAAGTTGTTCATAGGCAAGATGTGGAAGCTTTTCGTCGATGGGGCCTCCAACAGACATGGCGCCGGGTTGGGTGTTGTGCTGACTTCTCCGGACAGGCTGGTTATCGAGCAAGCAATTACACTCGGCTTCCCGGCATCCAACAATGAGGCGGAATACGAGGCCCTCCTTGCCGGACTGAGAAGTGCCTTAAGAATGAAAGCATCGGCTCTTCTAGTATTCAGCGACTCCAAGTTGGTGGTCAATCAAGTCTCTGGGGAGTATGAAGCCAGGGATGAAAGAGTGACCAAGTATCAGGCGTTGGTGCGCGCAGAAATCAAGAAGTTCACCGCGATAAGAATAGAACAAATCAACCGTGAAGAAAATAATGCAGCTGACGAACTAGCTGGCCTTGCGTCTACACAAACAGCTTTCCTCAATCCTTTTATGATAAAATTCCTACCTCGGCCATGCATTGAGGAACCAGAAGTGTTTGAGGTACTCTGCACCGATCTGGGACCATTCTGGATGGACCCCATCATCGCCTTCCTAAAAGATAGAGTTTTGCCAGAAGAGAAGAAGGCGGCCAACAAGATCCGAGCCAAATCAGAGCGGTTTTGGCTCTCTCCATCCGGGGCCATATACAAGAAGTCTTTTATCGGGCCGTATCTGAAGTGCATCCACCCCGACAAGGTGGAAGCTTTCCTCTATGAGATCCATGAAGGCATCTGCGGAAGTCATACTAGGGGCAGGTCTTTGGCTTACCGAGCGATTTCCCAAGGTTATTTGTGGCCGTGCATGTAGGCGAACGCACAGAAATACGTTCGCAGGTGTGAAAAATGTCAGAAATTTGCTCATCAAATCCACCAGCCGGCCAGAGAATTGCTTCCCCTTACAAGCCCTTGGTCGTTCGCGCTCTGGGGATTGGACATTGTCGAACCACTCCCAATAGCTCCAGGCAACCGCAAGTTCTTCATCGCCGCTACTGACTACTTCACCAAGTGGGTTGAGGCTGAGCCATTGGCAACCATAAAGGAAAAAGATGTGAAGAAGTTTGTTTGGCAAAACGTCATCACCCGCTTCGGTATTCCGAAGGCCCTCATATCGGATAATGGCACTCAGTTCGATGGGAAACTCTTTCGCGGATTTTGCGAGGAGTTAAAGATTGAGTTATACAACTCAACACCGGCCTACCCTCAGTCAAATGGTCAAGCAGAAGCCTCAAACAAGACCATCCTGGACGGGCTGAAAAAGCAGTTAGAGAAAGCCAAAGGGAAGTGGGCTAAAGAACTCCCTAATGTGCTATGGGCATACCGCACTACGCCAAGGCAATCGACCGGGGAGACACCATTCGCCTTGGCCTATGGCATGGAGGCCGTCATCCCGTTGGAAATTGGTATGTCGACTATCCGGTCTAAGAGTTTTTAGCCAGACTTACACAATGAAGCGGTGGCATTGGAGCTTGACCTAGCCAAGGAAAGAAGGGAACGAGCTCTAATCCACATAGCAGTTTATCCGCAAGAACTCTCCAGGAAATACAACAAGGTTGTGCATCCAAGGCTATTCAAGATTGGAGACTTGGTCTTAAGAACGGTATTGGGCAACACGGTGATCCCGGGCGAAGGCAAACTTGGTGCAAATTGGGAAGGGCCATACAAGGTAACTGGCTTTACCGGCAAAAGGGCATACCATCTGGAGGGCTTAGATGGTAAAACGATCCCTAGACCATGGAATCCAGCCAACCTTAAGATTGTTTACTTTTGAGATGTAATTATTTTTGTTACTTAGCTTTGTGAACCTTTAGCCCTTAGGCATTTAATGTAAATCGCTGGCATGTAATCGAAGATAGCCCTTCTTTTTTACATTATGAGTTTCTGTAAAATGACAAGGATATTGGGCTACTGTGGATGCTAGGGGCAGGAAGACCAACTTACACTAAGCCGAGCTAACAT